AACTGAGCTCCCACCAGATCCACGGCATAAGGTAACTCTGGGAAGAAGGGTCCAGCAATCTGCATTTTTAACAAGCCTCACAGGTGATGCTGATGCTCACCTGAGCTTGAGGACACAGGGCTCTTTAACCCTTCGTGCTGGACACCCTGAACAGCCTCATGACAGTAGGTTTGCTGTCCACACTGCACAGATGTCCAGTGTTACTCACGTGAAGACCTATCTTTCACAAGATACTTAAAGAATAAACTATCTACCCATGAATACTATTCATCACTTTGAAAGCCCTGATTCAAATACTTCTACTAGGGGATTACAGGAGAATGTTTTATGTTGGGGGAGAGGGATCTTTGTGCAGGACTCAATACTTTAAAGCAATTTTAATATGGTGTTATTTTGTTTTAGCTTGTTCCTGCGATCTACTTAAAACCACACCAAAAAAAGCTCTTCAAAAGTATGCATTTAGAGCTACCACAATTAATTCAAAGTAATTGAGTTTAAGGCAATTATATATATATAAATTATATAAAGCATAAAAATTAAAGCACCAGAAGTTAAACATCACTGACAACTTATCAAGATTATCCTCGCTCCCCAAAACACTTACTTGTCTTAAAAACTGCTTTCCAAGATAAGAGGTAGCCATACTGGTTAAATTCTTTTTGTTGCCTACTTTACACCTGATGTAGCCATACAGGTTGGCACCTTGTAGCACCACACCCATGATAACCACTGCCTGGGAAAAGGAAAAAAATTAATCAGCAGTTATTGGTAGGGAAATAATTGTTTTCTCTATGCCATGGATTAAGCCAATTCAAGAAGGAAAAAGCAGCTTTGCACAAGGCACGCCTTAATTTGCCAGAACAGCCCTAAACCAGAGTGTGCTCTGTAGAAGGTAGTCACTCATTCATCCAACTGAGTTTTTTCAAGGCACTGGCCAGCCCCTGGGGATGTAGTGGAGGGAACCCCTTCTCTCCCAAAGGCTTCCTTCGAGTCGATGGTACAAATATTTTTTTTGAGTAGGTAAGACTCAGAAAACACTCAAATGTGCATTCTTTCTTTAGGGCTAACAAAAGAACATCTAGACGGAGGCCTCTGTTCTGTGCGAACATGTATGGGTGTCGGGAGAGCCACCGCAATGCCTCAAGGCGCAACAGGTGTACGACTCCCACAATGAGGGAGGAGCGCTAGATAAATCAAGTACACTTTCACAGAATTTGTTCTTTCTTGTGGCCACATCAGCGATACTA